TTTTGTCCTCCAACGTTTGAAGTTCACTTTGTCTCGAAGCGTTATGATGGTTCGTGGCTTTCTGACTCATGCGGGAGAGTTTCTACTCATAATGGTGTAATATAAATGAATTTTCAAAAAAATCCCGGATATGAATTAATATGATACTTCTCGAGCGAACAATGTGTGTAGAGGGTAATATTAACTTTTTAAAATGTTCAGGACATGTCAACGTAGAACATCTAATATTGTAAATAGATGGTGTATTTGGATTTGACTGACATAGAAGAATATAAAATGTCGAAGAAAATAAAGCTTAATCCATATTATCCATACTAATGGAAGATTGATTCGGTCAAAGAATTATATGCGGTATTAACCAACATTTGCCCCCCAAAATCAAACTTTGATGGAGTAATATTTAATTAAGTCCTTAAACAGGGGAGTATATGCTGACTTCAAAGCACTGAATAATTTCATAAGTAATGACGTCATATGTACGTAATGACGTCACAAATATGACGTAAATTTCAGTTTTTTATGAATTTTGCAGAAAAATGTACATATTTCGTCGATATTTTAAATAAAAGTCACCGAGCGCATGTGTGTTCAGGATAAATATTTTGATATAATGTGTAGAATGATAATATCAATGAAATATGTCAATATTGTTCCTGAACACACATGCGCTCTATAAATTTTAAAGCTTAAATTGTTGAAATTTTGTCCATTTCGTCCTCTTTCTGAAAAAGGATATAAAATCGGACTAGTTTGTGACGTCATAAAAACAGAAATTGTGAATACACTGCTCTGGAACTATAATATTTTCTGTTAACTTATATTTCTCGTACAATTTATTGAATTCAGCACATTTCAGGAAGTTTTCAAAATTTGACTTTTGTGGGGGCAAACATATGCAATATACCGCATATAGTTCTTTAAAACCCCTGTATAAAAGAATCTTCTTTTCTGCTCTTACGTCGCGGGTTCGAATTCCACTGTGGGACGTGGAGACCGGTCTTCGGATGAGACCGTATAAACCGAGGTCCCGTGTCGCAGTATGTGCTGGCACAAAAAAGATCCCTCCCTGCTCAATGGCCCTAAGTGCCGAGTATAGGACAAAATTTGCAGCTCTCTACCGGCAAGTGGTGGCGTCTCCATATGAGTGAAAAAATTCTCGAGAGGGACGTTAAACAAAATACAATCAATCAATCTTTTCTGCTCTATAATGGAATAAGGAAACTGATTAAGAATATGGGTCAATAAAGCGGACAAAACGCCTAAAGCTGAGCATGTATCATTCAAATTCATTTATGTTTGAATTTGGTTCAAATTATGAAAAACAGAAACTATAACTAAAATCCCCTTGTGATACCTATTCTGGCCCAACCTTATCCCTAGGGGTCATGGTTGGGACAATTTAAAATCTACACTACCCCAGAATGCTTCTACATGTTTCAGCTTTTCTGGCCCAGTGGTTCTTGAGAAGAAGATTTTTCAAGATTTTCCCTATGTATTTCAGTGTAAAACTTGGCCATTGATTCCCTATTGTAGCCCCGCCCTATCCCCGGGGGTCATGATTTAAACAATTTAGATCTACACTACCGCAGGATGCTTCCACGTAAGTTTCAGCTTTTCTGCTTCAGTGGATCTTGAGATTTTTTATAATGACCCAATGCTATTTTTGTCTTTTGTGGATTATATCCCCTTATGAGGGGCATGGCCCTTCATTTTTAGGCGGGGTCACGTGACCCCGTCTATTACTTTACTGTCCGAGCCCTCAAACAGGAAGCCGTGGTGATAACACATGAATTAAATCTACGCTGTATGAAAGAGTGCAGAAATTGTTTTGACCAAATATAATTATTCTGTATCAAACTGAAGAAAGTGATATGAACTTTTTTGTAAATCAAATTAACGAAGCATTCTGTAAACGTAAACTCAAAATATTAATTTTAAATAAACACACTAGTAAACAAAGTACTCTCCTGCGTAGTATTACGACTGCGTACGTATCACGTTTACTTCCGGAGAAATATTAATTCGGACCAGGTGAAATTCGGACAATTCATGAAGGTCTCTAGACGTAGCAATTATTGAAATTTCTACTTCAAATTAAATGAAAAACGCGAATTTATATTATTCACGGTTTTGTTTTTAGTTTGTTAATTAAAAAAGAATTATCAAAACTCGTTAAAAAAAGATCACATTTGTGAAATCTAGCATGAAGATTATTTTGACCCCGTCTTTCAGTACTGTCTCAGTACTTTGATTACAATTTAAACTCCCCTTCACACAAGGATGCTACGCACTAATTTTGGTTAAAATTGTACTCGCTCCTTCATGGCATCTCATCCTCATTTTCTCAGAGCGGGGATCGTTTTCGCCTTGTACGGTTCCATTCTTTGGCAGAAATAAGTTAAGGGTCCTCAGGAGGTTTCTTAAAAGTAAATAAATAAGAAGTACGTTTTTTATGTTGATACAAAAATAATGTGCATAGAAGAAATCTTAATCTTTCATAAACAAAGCATGCTATCACATCCAACTAAAAAATCTGCTGGTTATTAAGATGCAAATGTGCAATGTTGATTAAATAGCTTTACATATCAGTTGTGATGTAACACACATAGAACTAAATACCACCATCGTAGAAGAGCGTTTTCTTTTCGGAAAGGACAAGGTAGGGTAACTGCCAAATCTGGCTCCTTATCTGATGTAAATAAAAACCAGAACACTGGTAAAATCGTGATAGTTTGTAGATAAGAACTTATTAAAAAAGATGCTGTCCTTAAAACCATCACTAATTTGGATTCAAAGCTTACATGGAAGATACCAAATGATTCAGAAATAGGACATTTTCCCGAATTTTCTCATTTCTGGTGGAATTTTAATAGTTGAGATAAATTTCTCTTCGGAAAACATAGTTCACACGCTTGCCTATGTGAGATTTTTGCACATAAACTGCATTTGATACTTATGTATATAATATATAAATTTGGTAAATAGGCAAGCTTGTGCTCTATGTTTTCCGAAACAAAATGTACTGTTAAATCGGTGAAAATTTGCAAATTTGACCTGTTTTCTGACCTCTGTGTATTCCAAAACTTAGAACTAATACTCATTTTGTGGCAGGGTTGACAACAGGTTTATATTGATAAATCGTTGCATCATTCTGAAAGACACTCAGAATCAGGGGCCAAAAAGGGGTCTTACCCTATCTGGTCCTTTCCATGGGTGACGAAGTGTTCTAATTTTCTCTGAATGAAACTTATTAAAGAATATCATTTGAAATTACATGTATATGAATACAAGATTTTTTTCTTAACTAAGAATGCATTTGTACGTATGTGTGTATCTCAGCACAAATCTTAATGAATCCCAGCCCTGATCTCCAAAACCCAGAAAGATATTTTCAACGTTTTAATATCAACTTCGGATTACGTGCGTGTACAATCAGAAAATTCCTTAACTAAAAACTTTGCAAATTACCAATTACGTAAGTAATTTAGAAGCTCCATTTTTAATTCAGCTGCCTTTGATACTTGAATTCTGGATTTGATTTTATCGTGGGATATTGCTGTACAGTAATTTGACCATTTCCGAATAAGAAACGGATTCGGTGTTGCTATGAATATACGAAGCATTATTTCAAAATATAGGTTTTTTGGCAAGGTAGTTCAATGACTTGTGGAATTAGATATAGTTTCATAAGAGTTCAGCCTTCCCCCAAAAATATATTTCGCAAGTTAACAAAGGTGTTCATTTTACCAGTTACGAATAAGCCGACTAGTTCCGAATACCCTAGCGGTACCCATTCAATTCAACCCTAAATTAAAAAATATACGTTCCACACATTATCCAGTGGCATGCCTAAGAAAAGTTAAATTAATTGCTTACCAATAAGTTATTTGTATTTCTTATAGCGAGAAACTAGGGGTACTGTGAACACTGAGCTCACTTTAATGATACCCCACGCCTTCTATATAATTATTATGACAAAGTCCATGTATTGCTCTAGCTAGGAGATCCGAAATGTGTATTAGATCAAAAAAATATAGTAAGAGGTCACATGTACAATGTAAAAAAGAATCTATGAAAGTGTCATTAAATCTAATTCAGTGGAATGGAGGAATTGTGGATAAGAGATGGATATACCCTTCAATATTAGAAAAGAATGGCAGTATCAATGTAATCCTAAGGGGGCCTAAATTATGTGCCAGATCAAAAAATAAAATACAAGGTATACTTTGGCACTATTTAACAAAGATTCTGTGAAAGCCTCATTCAGTTCTGTGAAGCCTCATTAAATTTCATTCAGCGGTAGAAGAAGGGTTGTGGATAAGAAATGGGTACCTCAAAGCGTATCAGACGGACGGACGTACAGACAGACAGACGGATGGATGGACAAGCACCCCTATCATTCAAACATTCACTATCTACCCCTTCCCCCTGCTTTTCAAGCGGGGGTATAACAAGTCATGTTTAAATGGAGAAAACAACGAAGAATAGTTTTTAAAATGGGTATTCGGAACTAATAAAATAACACTAAACAACACGAAAATATTCCGATATCTTTCAGTGTTCTAAATATTTATTTTAGACAAGTTTTTAGTATTTGTTAGAATACATATCAAACTTACTTTTGATACCTGGGATGTTGCTTTATGTGAAAAACTGATGTCTCTACAGAGGTTTTTTCTGCAGACTTACGCGTCGCTGTGATTCAGATTTGTTGCATTGTAAAAGAATGTCGACTCTTTAAAGTACGATAACGAAACCGAATTGACGGCAAAAAATCAAAACTTCGCATAATTCAAACACTCATAAATAAGCCTTCTTACCATAGGTATCAATTTATTTTTACACCTTTAAATGTATTAACTATCAGCTCTTAAATTAATAATTATTCGGAACTGGCCAAACGACTATATAAAATGTTGAAAAGTGGACAGTTTTTATGTCATTTACGATTTCAAATTTTCCAAAACTTCCATTACATTTTTTTTGCATTTACATCTGATCTAAAACTTCAGAAGCTTCTCCTTCAAAACTGTTACAGAAAGTGTTATATTAATATTTTTTTTTCAATTGGTATAGCAGTCCTTTCACGTTAGTCATGGTAATATATCTTGAAAAGCTTTTTTTGAGTTTTTCAGTTACAGCCAAATGTATCTTGAAAAGCTTTTCATGCGTTTGTCATATAGAACCGATACGAGATGATTAAAGTAATGCCGAATTAGCAGATCTTAGATTGAATCTCTGCTAGGGCTAGGAATTTTCTAGTGAAAGTCTTCAAAAGAATAATTTAAGTAAAAAGGTCTGTGAAAAGATCTCTGAATCAATGAATTTTATAGATTCTCTTTTGACTACTGACGGATTAATTCTTATTTATACCTCTAATATGTATGTGTATGCTAATAGGAATAACGATGGTGACTACCTCAAAAGGCCCTTCTTTTTCATTTTAGTAAAGCAAGGTTCATAATATTAAAAGTGACTTGAAAAAGAAAGAATTGTTTTACATACTGAGAAAGGTTTTGCCTTTGTTTAAGACGAATTGGATATTTACCGTGTTCCTTTTTAAACAAAAAATAAACGAAACAATATATTTCCAAAAATTAGTCTATCGTGGGTTCCTGAATAAAACAAAAGATAGTACTCTTTCGATTTATCGGTAATAAATGCCAAAAAAATTCGAGTCTATAATCTTATTATAGTAGTATAGATGCAATCTATCACTAAGATCCCAGTCCAAAATATTTGGTTGATATAATTTTTTTTCAAAGTGCGTTAAGTGTCTCCATTGTAACAATATTGAAGTACACTCTTAATGTACATTGACATTTTTTTCAAAGTGCGTTCATTTCGTCACAATTTAAACGCACTTCGATTTTTTTTTTTAAGTGGGTTGATTTGTCCCGATTTTCAGGCACTTTGAATTTTTTTTTATTAAATGCGTATTTTTTTTCAAAGTGCGTTGCCGCAAAGGGCTTCTTGTGTTATTATATTGATGCATTCAACATCCGGTGTTGCTGTTTCTTCGAATTAAGGGACTTTCTTTTCAGAGTTACATACTGTTATCAATGAATTTAGAACATATACATGTACTGTTATTTTTGACATTTTTCTCCCAAAACTATTATTTTCAAAAATAAAATATTTAGTTTACTAAGCCAAGTTTGTGTCAATTCTAGCATAATCAATTAACTAAGTAACCTGACCAATACATTATTTTTAGAGTTTATTGTTATCTAATCAAACTCATCGCAAACGACGATGCACATCTCTCTTACATTGCTTACACAGGGGCGTAGCTAGGACTATTGTAACGTGTAGGCCGAAGAATGAAACCGAAGGTTTCACCGAGGCGCGAAGCGCCGAGGGGGGGTAGGTGCGGGAGGGGGTCGCCCCCTCCCGCTGGGGGGGGTTCGGGGGGTCACCCCCGAGAAATTTTTGAAATATTAGGACTCATTTGCACTACTCTGAGCATCAAAAATATTGAAATAGACATTAAATTTTGTATTACAAATATCTTTAAAATGATGTAATTTTAAAGAATTTTTGTACCAGATTTTGCACGCATAGTCATGACATGTGGTATTACGTGTTGTATTAAAAATGACTTGTGCATGTAATATGAAATTGATAGGATTTAGTGTAAGATTTTAAAAAGATTATCCACAAAATTTTATCATTTTTTATTGCTTTAAAATTCAAATTCTCCTTCAAATGAAATTGATTTTTCTGTTTTTCACAGCAACAAAATTGTCAATTACAGCATCAATGTCAACTGGCATATGACGTTGTACATGCAACAGAGAAAGATTGGACATCCTTTCGTCTCCCATAGTTGTTCTCAAATAATTTTTAACTCTACGCATCGCACTAAACGAACGCTCACTAGAGGCCGAGGATACTGGCATGGTCAAGAAAATGGACAGAACGCAGAAAATGCCAGGATAAATGTCTTTGTTGGTTTTATTCAGGAGATCGATGATTTTATTCGGTCCTGTATCGGTACCAGCAAGATTCCATCTAATCCTCCATCTTGTTATTTCATCCACAAACTCTACTTTGCTAGTGAGGTCTGACTTATAGGCGTTGTACAGACGATCTGTAACATCCGCTGTAAGGTCTTGCAGTTTGGCTGGTAGCAAATACGAAATTAAAAATCTCTCTTCGTTCTTTGTTACTCGACTAGATATTTCGTTTACCAGGTGATCTAAAAAGACGAGATACAACGAAACTCTCCAGTAATCCGACGGGTTGTTTAGGGGATGATTTTCTCTGTGTTGTTGACGTCCTGCTCTTCTTGGAACGCATGGCTGCAAGTCATGCTCTGCAGCTATTTCAGTTGCCCTGCCATACAATGCATCCCAAACACTAATGTCGTTTCTTTCATCAGTTAATCTCCTGATAACGACTTTGGCCTCTGTTACTGCTTCTAAAAGGTCTATGTCCTTTTTTTGAAGATAGTTTGTTAAGGCTACTGTAGAGCTCAAAACGTGTTCCGCTACAACTAGTGCAATGATAAATTCAAATCTCAAAATAGCAGCTAAGTATTGCGATGCCTTCTCATCTTTAGCATCTTCAAGTGATTGGAGGGCAGCAACGACCACGGGGAAAGCTGAGCGGAAGGTGAACAGTGAATCTGCTCGACTTGACCAACGCGTTTCGCACAGTGTTCTGAGTTTTGTTCGTCGGTCCATCTGCTCCTGTACGTCATCGTTTTCAGCCAGTTCGTCGGAGAATGCTTTCAAACGCTTTGCCAAACAAAATGCCACATCCTGCACTGTTGACATCATGTTTCGAATGCACATAACCTTGCTGCTGTGTATCAATGCAAGATTCAGCGAGTGTGCTTTGCAGTGAACATAAGAAGCCTCGGGAACAACTTGAAGTATCCTGGCCTGGACGCCACTGTATTTCCCCGACATGTTAGCAGCTCCATCGTAGCACTGAGCTCGTAGATTCTGAATATTCAGGTTCAATTCAGCAAGAAAATCAATGATGATATTGGAAACTGCCATACCTTTCACACTCTCTGCATATTTAAAGCCAACAAACTCTTCTCGTATCTCAAGACAACCATCGATACTATCAAGAAACCTAATGCACAAAGACATCTGTTCTTTTGTAGAGGAATCGGTACATTCGTCAGCAATAATGCCCAAAAACTTAGAATTCCTGCAAGAATCCACAATGTTTTTGCGCACCTGGTTTCCAAGCAGATTGATTAGTTCATTTTGGATATCAGGGGATAAGTAGGTAGAGCGTGACGCGTGGCAAGGTGGTCGCTTAAGACGGGGTCTCTCTTGGCAAATTCAGAAAGGATGGCAATGAAGTTACTCTTATCTTCAGTGTGTCCCCTTATAGGGATGTTCTGCCTACCACATAGTAATAGCACTTCGATAATTGTCTTAAGTATATGTCTATTTCTCTCAGTATGTTTTTTGTGGCTTGATGATAGCATGCTCACAACGGTATCTCCCTTCCCTTCACTTACTCGTACAAATTCTTCCCCCGCCGTTACACAACCCTTATGAAATGCTAAATTTTCATGGCGCCGCGCAATTGATAGCAGATTTTTCCAGTCTGTCATTGGACTGGATAAGAACGATTTTTCTTTCGAATCAGCATTGCCAAATAAGAAACAGTACGCACAAAACACAGAGTCGGTGGAAATAGAATAGCGCATCCAATGATGGTCTTTCAACCAAGATGGTTGGAATCGCCGAGATTTGGTACCAAAGGACCTGTAAAATTTAAATATAGCCAGCATTCAGGTACACTCATCCAACTCTCAATTTTCTTTGTGCAAACCACCAACAATGCTTATTATTTTACGTTCGGTACTTGGGACTTGGATCAATATTCCATCCCTCCTCTAATCAGCTAATTTCATTTCTTCTTTTTTTGTTTTTTTTATTTCTTTTTTTTTAAATCTGGGATTGACTTTTTTTGTATTTAAGCCCCAAAAAATTATTTATTGTCTCTGACATGGATTATTAAAGTTATGTAATCAGCAAATCTTATCAACATTTTTTAAACCAAATTTGACAAAGACAAAAAAAGGGGTGGTTGATTTAAATCTATATTGCAAGTACAAGAAAAATTAAATGTGTCTATCCAATATCAATATAAATAAATGATGAAATTGATAATTTGATGTGTGACTTGTTTTTATATGACTGCTTTATGTACAAATATCTACAATTCAAATGATAACATAATAAAGGAAAACCAATGTAAAGTACTATGCAACCCTGTCAATGTAATTCATGCTAGAAGGACACATGTATATGAGTTTTTACCTTAATAAGGTGGGAATAGGGGGTGGGGGTCTTGATCCATGTCACAAGTGTCTGAGGACTAAATATCAAAGATCAAAGGTAATATTTAGAATGAAAATAATTTTCTACTTTCTTATAGTTTGTAGATGTGTATCTGAACAATGATCTTGGTAAATAAATTCATTGTTTACTGATATTTAGGTACGAAGCTAAAGCAGCAAATATTGTGTTCAAAGCAACACGGACTGTCACAGAGAGCTCGCACATAATTAGATAAAGTTTAATTAGATTAATGGGATTCAACATACCTTTTATTAGTATTTACGTATATGCAAAGAAAGGTATGTTGAATCCCATAAATATATTATCATAAGGCCTAAATTAGAATATTGTTTGTTTCCCCTTTCCGACTCAGCATTGTGACCTAAGGGTCGGTAGGTAGGAAAAATATTTTATTTTTTTTCCAACAACAATTATTAGATATCAGACAATAAAGTTCAATCATTTGTAATTTTTTGATTAAGTTTAAATTTGTTTATCAATGTTTAATAGCAAATATATTAGACACATCCACCGAGTTCAGGTATGATAGGAATGAAATCATTTAAAAAATATTTTTTCCTCAGATGAGGCAATAAAATTTTTTGAGTCGCGGCGATTTTGGTGGGTCGGTGGGTAAGGGGAAACAAACGATATTTTATTTTAGGCCTAGTAGTAAACATTACAAGAATTATATTTGTTAAAATTGAACCCTGTACGTACTAGATCTATAGGATATTTTGAATCTTGTCATTAACACATTGTTAACGTCGCTATTTTATATCTAAAACAGTTGTAAAGTTATAGTCTAAGGTTAGCCCGTTTTGGTTCAATTTCAAATGAAATACGATGTTAGGCCTACGTCAGCATGCACCACCCCTAAATGAATGCGTTAACATGTTCAGGCGCGGATCTAAAGGGGGGGGGGGGTTGAGGGGCCCCCCCTGGAATTTGCGGAATAGCAAAATAGAGAATGTAGAGTAACTAAAAAATGACCTCTGACCCCCCCCCCCCCCCCACTGGAATTTGTGGATTACAAAAAATTATTCGTTTGCCACCCCGGAATATATTGGTAAAAGGTGGAAGGAAGAGGGGTATGTAATTGACGTAGCGAGTAGCAAAAACTCTTCTCTCTCTCACACCCCCACCCCCACCCTCCGATTAGGATTTTGAGAATTTTGGAAAGAGTTACTGTCCTTTGAAAAAGTACTAGCCCCCCCCCCCCCCCCCCCCCCCCCCCCGAATTAATATTTTGATAATTTGGGGTTTGGGAAGACCATCTTTTATTTCATTAAATGAGTTGTGGAGAGGAAAAGGTCTAGGGTAGAATTTTTTGGACAGAATTGGACCCCCCCCCCCCCCCCCGGAAAAAAAAATCTTGGATCCGCGCCTGATCTTTATAGGCCCTTAGGCCTTAAATAACAAGTACTCCGCTCGCACGGTGTCGGCACCATCAGCATATTTCACAAATTTTAGAAGACTGTAAGGTTTCTTCATGTGTTCATATTGTAGTATGTACTAACCTTGACGGAAATTCAAAGTCATGCTGATGCCATTTAGATTTGAGAATTTCCACTTTGCAGTGATCTGAAATTTGGTGTTTTGACTCGGGAATAATTTTACCAAGATCTGGATAGGTAGGCACATCACTGTTATTTATGGCACTGTTGCTGTCATTAGATACAGATTTTGGTCTACACACTGAATTTAAATTTTTCCGGGTGATAAACTTATCCATGACTTAAATAATCAATTAAACGCTTGACGTGTATGTACTAATTCTCTATTACGACAAGCACCTTAATGTCATGTAGGAACATTATAAAAAGAAAAGGTCAGACGAATAATAATTTTATATCCGATTTTAAAACCTGTATGTATGAACATTGGGCCTAAATTATTTTTTGCAAAAATTTATGGGCTTTTTTTTTTTTTTTTTTTTTAGTGACAATGTGTAGGCACGTGCCTACTCGAGCCTAACGTAGCTACGCCCCTGTTACACATTATGGCTTCAAGAAATCGGATATAACAAATTTGTTCTCTCAAAATATCTTCAAAAATTCTTATTAGTATCTTCAAAGCACCGTGTATTAGGAAGATGACAAGGGATAAGTAGTCATCGATTTAAAATCTCCCTATTAGTGGAGAGGAATATTATTTCTAGGTTGTAATTTCAATCTCGCTATGGCAAAAGATCTTCAGAACTTTCTATCGATAATTATCAAGCTTATTTTCATCCCTGCTGTGTAGTCTGTTATTATTTTTGACTAAACTAAAAAGAAATTCAAATTAAAACTATGCAGTTTGAATTTTCTTTTCATGCATCAACATTTTCGTATTAAACTTTATAATAAAATGATGGAAATTCAAAACACGATGTTAACAAACCTTTCTTGTAAGTCTGTTTGAATAATTAAGGACTCTGATCAGGCCAGGAAGCAATTATCAGATTGGGGGCACAGCCATATAATTTCAGTTGGGGGCACTATCACCTACAAAAAATTCATTGACAAAGTAAGAAAGAAAAAAAACAGGTCATCGGAGTTTTAGTAAGGGGGCACGAGCATATACATGTAATAGCTTTGTTTTCTATAATAAACTATATATCAGCAAAAACGTTGGGGTGGGGCATCCCCCTATAATTAATTTCTACCATGCTGATAGATTAGCAACCTAAGAAATACATATAACAAGAGGCCCACGGGCTTTACAGGTCACCTGAGCATTATGCAAAAACTTCCCAGTTACAGTGTATTGAATTTGATTCATGTTTTAAGCCAGATGCTATATGACATTCACAATTTTGAAAGAGGCACCATTGATCATCATAACTACATTTAGCAGTTGCTTAGCTTGGTTACTGAATACCCATACGCAGGGTAGGGGAACAAAAATGCACTCCAACTAATCAGTAATATTCAGCAATAATCAGTAGTGCCCCTAACAATGTAACATAAACCCCTGACATTAGGTCCACACATTGCACAAATTTTTAAAAGGCACCCTTAAAATTGCCTATCAAAAAATAAATAAATGTTTTATAAATACAAAAGAGCATATTTCAAACAATTAATTCATTTTCAGTATATAAGTAAAGCCCCCCCCCCTGACCCTGGGGCCTTGAAATTCACAATTCTGCAAGATTAGGGCCCTTGCTCATCATAACTATATAGGTAGTTCATTTGCTTCATACCCAGAGACAGAGAAAAAAATTTTCAAAGATTTAATGTATTTTCACTATATAATCAATAGAGCCCCACCCTAACACCAGAACCCCAGATCCTGGGGCCATAAAATTCATAATTTTAGAAGAGGCATTCTTGCTCATCATAACTATGTACTTAGTTTATTTAATTCCCAGGAGCAGAGAAGAAGATTTTCAAAGAATTCATGTATTTTACTATATAATCTATAGAGCCTCGCCCTAACACCAGAACCCCTGACCCTGGGACCATAAAATTCACAATTTTGGTTGAGGCACTCTTGCTCATCATAACTATGCACTTAGTTAGTTTATTTAATACCTAGGAGCAGAGAAGAAGATTTTCAAAGAAATCATGTATTTTTACTATATAATCAATAGAGCCCCCCCCCCCCCAACACCAGAACACTTGACCCTGGGGCCATAAAATTCACAATTTTGGTTGAGGCACTCTTGCTCATCATAACTATGCACTTAGGTAGTTTATTTAATACCT